ATATATATATATATATATATATATTTGTTAATTGTGTTATTACTTTTTATCATTTTTTGTTTTGTATACATGTTTGTTTGAAATAAACTTTAGATTGATGATTGATATTGTAAAATGTAGGGACTCAAATACGTGTAAATATTATCATTCTGCTGGATGTGCACTGAGAAGCATCAACGGTTCTACAGCTGGCTGTAACTTCCTCTATTTGCTCTCAAAAATAACTAACATGTTCCATGAAAATCTCCATCTAATGCAATGTAAAGATTTATAAATTATTGTTCATTTGAACAGTTAATGGTTAAAATGTTAAAGTTACTGCTCAGATTACCTGGTCATTTGGTCAAAGCTAAATTGTTTTCAGAGTTACCTACAACATGTAAGATATCGATTGCTTTTATCTTTTCACACTAAAACTCCACTTCAAAAAGATCATTGTTGTTGTTTTATGTTGTGACAATAACTTAAACCTATTTGTATTTCAAGACAGAGTCAGAATTTTACTATATTAGTTGTTTTACTATGATATTTATTTCCAATTTATAAAAAGCTTTATTGTATTGTTTTTGTGTGTGTGTTGTTTGGTTACATACTGTTATTGTCACCTACAAACTGTTTTCAATTTAACCTACCTGTTTAATCTTTTCTTCCTCAAACATAATAATTGTGAATATTTAAAGTGTGTGCCATGTTTTTCCTTCATAACCAAAAAAATTGAAGAAAACATCTTAAGAATTCAGAAATGTTGCCATAATACACAGGTTGTACCTGTTTTGTCACATAACTGGTATATTTTTATTTCAACTTTGTGCAGCCAAAGGGAAACAGGAAGTGATATGAAAGGGGAACCACCTCACCTCTCTCTGATAATGACTTAAATCATCAGAGTTTTCTCTGCTGTCTGTGTTGTTAGCCATTAAATCAATGCTCTGTTTATGTGCAAGTCTTCCCCTTTGTCATCACTTCCTGTTGTTGCACATGTAAATATCTCAACAGCCATTCAACAACACTAAATGGCACGAATACATTAGTGTTTTTTGTGTGTACAGACAGCTAACAGCTGCAGCTGTTGCTACTGTGCTTTGATTAAAAAAGCCCAAAGCACAGGTGATTACATAATAAAAAACCTACAGGCAAACAATTCCTAATACTGTTAGAGTTATTGTTTTTTAGTTTAGTGCTTTTGTCAGATCACATGTTTTATTTATTATCAACACCTCTCCAGGAAGCAGAGGAAAAAGATGCAGAGTCACCTACACCAAAACCAGAATCAGTGTGTGGAGCAGCCAAACCGCATGTTGGCCAACGGGCCAAACCACCCCGGCCCCGGTCCCGAGGAGATCCCCATGGTTGATGTGAGTTTACACAGCACAAACACACAGCAGGTTGACTATAACTCACTGACTCAAAAAATCTAGTCATATTGACTGCTGTAAGAAAAAAGCCATGCAACAGGTCAGTACAGACAGACACAGGAAGCAAAACAGAAAAAAACTAAATCACCCAGCAGGAAAACATCATAATAATTAGGCTTGAATATCACAGAGAGGTCAAATCTGCTTAGGGCTGCAACGATTAATCGATTAATCGTCAACTAATGGATTATTAAGATAATCGATGACTAATTTAATGATCGATTAATCGTTTTCTTTTT